CAGTGACCCACGCAACCCTGAAAAGGAAGAAGCGTGTACAGAAAATGGATGGATGGATGGATGTATATTTAGTAAAATAGTTGATGAATTTTTTGCTGCAATGAGATGTCAAAAAAATGGAATTACACATATTGATAATGGACCTAAATTCAACTTATTATTGCTTTTATTTATTTAGGTGTAACATATATATTKTTTAAGTTTTGTGAAGTTTTACCTCCCATAAACCAAGTGAAGCCATGCAATATAAAGCGTAACACCATGGTATGGTTTATGGTAACAGGGTAGTGCATGGTCACAGAAACATATGTTATCCAAAGATTAAACCTTTTAATTTCACAGCCATTGTATTGCAGCCTAAATGGACGACTTACGTGGACAACGGTCTATGTGGGCTGCGAGCCCTGAATACGGACACAGCTTATCTGTTTACAGACTTTCAGGGCAAATCTATATGCTTAGTCTGTTTAGATGCACTATGTGCCATGAATGATTTTAACATAAGTCTGCAATATAATGTATATTCACAAACACTTATTAAAATGGCAGTTTTATTACAATTAAGTAACTGTGTTGCACTATGTGGCCCTCAAAAATGTGGTTCCTTTTATTAAGTAGCCCATTGCTGAATTAGACGGTCATGCCATGTGCAGAGATGTATTTTTGCACACAAGTACGGTAGATGCATGAAAGGTAGTTCAAGTCAAATACATCAGTAACAAACCTTGCATGCTTTTTCAGCATAGGTTTTCATACATCTCTGTATCTGTCTAAATGTATGTGTGAATTCCACAAACAATGTATTAACACATCACAGACTGAGAGTCACGGCTGAGGTTTAATTMTACAGATGTGAAGCTTTTGTGTTCATTCTGATCGACCCAGAAGCTAATTAGCATTTCTCTGACACTATTAACTCTCCACTGAAGCACAAAGCCTGTCTGTCTATACGTACACATCATATAGATGTGAGTTTGTATATGTCTATGTGCATAAATATGTGTGTGATTGCAAGTTTATATATTTTGTGTTTTGTGTGTGTGCACGGTGCTGATACTGTAACCAGTCCCTCTGTTGTACTGTTAATAGTCCAGATGGTCAAATTAGCCGCTCCAACAAAGCAACAAACTATCTACTCTAACAAATACAAACAGACACACACAACCCACCTGCTGGGTTTGTTGTTAGGGACTAAACATGTACTCTCATGTTAGCCAGAGAGCCCAGACAGCGTGGGTGTGAAGGTGGTGGTGTGAAAGCAAGAAATGGGCAGTTTTATTGCTTTGCCCATGTTTGTTGTACCTAACAGAGCTCACTGGCAACTCTTTTAATTCTTAATATCAAATAGATATTTGCCAGATTTTTTTAAGCTGTTTGTTTTTCACGTCGGTATAAATTTAATAAAACAACTTAAAAAAACACACTGAAGGGCATTTTTATGTTTCCTTTATCATCAGCACTGTAAAACATAAACTTAAAATATTGTTTATTTAAACAATATGTAAAAAATAGAGCATTTAGGATATAATTTTAAATGACTTGTTTCTATTTTTTATTTTTGAACTTCCCTGTGATTGTTTTCTAGAGCTGAGAACTAATATGTTCAAGAGGCAGCAATTAAACTTTGAAGTCCACCTTTAGATAAACAACAACTGTATAATACGTGAAGAATAATAAACTCTTATCATAATATTGGCCAGCCCAACAACACAAATTAAATCATGTTTCTCCATACATAATGTTAATCATTATAATGAAACAAGTAATCAGCAGAACACTCCCATGTTGTCTGTTTGACTTGCTGCTTTAGAAGTAAGCGGAACATTATACAGCAGTAATTACATGATTCTCTTTCATTTTGAGTRTCATCGTCTTCATTTAAATATCAAACCACAACCATAGGGTGTTTTGTTTGTTTCATATCTGGAATAAATAAAAACATTAAAGCACAGTTTTTCCCTCTTCTAAAAGTGCGCTCTTAGTTTTAAATGAATGTTGAGAGAAGATGACTGACTGGAGAAAAAAGTTGTAAAGATTTTTAGAGGACTCTACAATTAAATGCAATGCTCTAAACACACACACAAGCACAAAAATGTAGGGAACTTCAGGCCTAATCAAATGATTTTATCTGCATTTTGTTAAAAAATGCAAAATGATGTATACTCCATAACAACTAAGAACTTGTGTTGACTAACAATATCAGCTGTTAGGCATTATCAGGTWTTTTTATAGAAATTAGATGTGAGTAAAAATAAGATTCAAAATAATACTAATTACTTTGGTAYATTTTATCTTGTTTTTCATCTAAAGTTAGGGCTTTAGAACTTCTTTAAGTCTAAGCAGCAGGAGAGATTGGATGAAATAATGAGGTTTACAAATAAAAACTATGCAATAGTGATAATTAAATATAAGGTCAACAGTTATAGGGTTATTTGTATTATTTATCACAAACAGAAAAAAGTTATGAAGACTGCAACTATATATTTAAGTATCAGGCTTATAATAAATACTCTAGGTAAAACCAAACATTGCTGCATCTCAAGTTTCTGTGCAGTTCTGTTTAACAGCTTTGTCCAACATGCCAWGTTTGCTGTATATTGTCACAATCGAGATCAGCTCTTGTGTTTCTGCAAGCATTAATAATGTCTGGATGGCTGCATGGTCCATGCCTGCCTGTTATAACTCTCCGTCTATCTCCTGGTCTAATCCATTTCCCGCTGCCTCAGAAGTGAATAAGTGATAAAGCAGGCAGGTTTCCAAAACAGAAAGCAAAGAGCTGGAAATCTACCCAGGAAGGCTGGTGCTGAATGCTATCAAATGACAAAAACAGATGGTTTTAAGATACTGCCAGTGAGCATTGAAGCAGTTTTTTTCTTTTTTTTTTTGGTTTGATAGCATTTTTTTATTCATATCAACAATTGGGTTTCCTTGGCATGCTTAAATATAAAAAATACAGGGTTTATAATGAATAGCAGTAAAAAATATAGTAGTAGAATGAGCCAGCTACAGTACATCTCATGTAGAGGAAGGACAGATGGGTCTTTTAGTTAGACCCAAYGGTACTGCTTTACTACTACCCTTTCTGTCACCTTCTAACCTATTTGTTCTGATGGTCTACATATCTTTTTCTCTGTGTAGTAAATGAAGGGGGAGTGAGACAGGCGTCTAACTCTTGCCCTGATCCAGGAGAACCAGAGAATGGAAAACGTCATGGCAATGACTTCAGGTACTTTTTTTTTTAAATTGCAAACATGCACGTCGTTGAATGAAATAAATACTTTTGGGGGCTACATCTTTGTGTGTCTGCAAATAAATGTGACAATTTCTGTTATTGTTGCTCTCACTTTTATCAATTATTTATGTGCGTGTTTGTATAGTATTGGCAGTGTGGTGCAGTTCAGTTGTGGAGAGGACTATGTACTTCAGGGCAGTAAAACCATCAGCTGTCAACGAGTGGCTGAAGTCTTTGCAGCCTGGAGTGACCACCGACCAGTGTGCAAAGGTAAGACTTTTTATACTTCTCAGTATGTATTCCACTTTGTGAGATGTCATTAAATATACGGCTGTATTCATAGAAACCACCCTAACTCTATCGACTATGCTGTGAAACAACTCACCTGACAAATCAATTAGCTCAGTTTATGGAAGGAGTAGATGGCTGTGCAGTGAGCGATAGAAGAAAGAACACCAGTCAATGAGGGATGAAGTTCCAACACAGAAAAGAGAACAGGACAGTAATGGATGGAGGCTGACCACACTAGTTAGGATGCCAATGTGTTCTCTGGCCCCAACAGTAGCTGGATTATGCCCCGCTCATTCCTCTATCCACCAGCTTGTCTCCAAAATCCTTCACACCCTCACTGGAAAACCTCTCTGGCCCTGCCAAACCCTGATGAACCCTTGGATCAGGCTGTTGGAACATCACACTTCAGTGATAGATATACAAAGGTGTTTTTTTGTGTGTGTGTGTGTGTGTGTGTGTGTGTGTAACCAAGCCCGGACTAAAGTCTTGTTTGGGCGGTGAGGCAACCTGCTACGTGAGGGCAATTTGTTGTTGGATGGCAGCAAGAGACCATCACCCATTGCCCACATTCTGTTACTGTCTCTGAGCAAACTGCACCATTATTGTGCCACAGGGCACTCAAAGGAGATTGCTCCGACTGGGGAGTTAATGTACTRACTTAGTTGAGCAACACGTCAGTAACCCCCATAGAGTCCAAGGGAGGAACAGGGTTTGGTTCTAATTTATGACATTTGCACTTTGCAAGACCTCTACGATAAAGCCAGTCTCTCCCACATCAAAACAGATTTAGAACAAAAACTAAAAGCTAGTTTTGTTGTCCCATGGAAAGCTGAACTGGAATTCTGAGATCTGTACTTTCAAAAACAGAGACTTGTTACTTGGAGAGTAACTGTATGGATCACACTATCTATGTTAATATGTGCACAAAATGAATTATTCCAATCATGACGAGTGGTGACATGCACCAGGCTTTTATTCAGAAAAGAAGTACAGACGTGCAGAGTTTTTTTTAAACTTTCTCTTAAAAAATGCTGTTCTACTTCCTAGAACATAAAAAAATGTTCTGTGTTCTTCCTCCAGCTTATCATGTACTTGTGTAAATAACTCTGCGTTCATACACTTTCAGCCATCAAAGCATTCAGTAATTTTAAGCTAACTGATGAAATTTTGCTTCCCTGACATATTAGCATCTAGCTAGGCGGAGATACATCAGGTTTAGAGGATGCACATGTGCAGTCATGTTTGTTTTTCACAACCAGAACAACATGATCAGTAAGTGATAAAATGCACGCAATTTGGATTGTCAATTAGGATAAACCAAATTTATTTCCATAGAGTTGAATTAGATCAGAATATTGTGTTRTTTACATGACACGTTTTTATTCCGATTTTCCATTTATTACAATTCCTTATGTCCATGTAAACACAGCTAATGTGAACTATGCTACAGATCTGATTTGGTGTCTTGTGGGACTCAAYTGAAATGTKGCTTTGAAAGGGYGTTGGCCCCATTACACTGCCTTTCCTGGGTGAAGCTTGGTAGCTTAATGATACTTTGAGAGTTTGATTGTGACCCAGGAGAGATCAGATCTCTAATTTCTGCAAACTTTAAAATAGTTTTTGGTTTTCTTGGTCTCTGGTTGCTGGTTGACCCAGGTGTTGCAGAACTAGAGTCAGTGGAAGGCAGGGGTTGTCACTGCTTACTGGATTAAGATTTAGCAGTTGCCAAATAGGAGCAGTGATGAATATGGTTCAGGAATAAATAGAACAGTYTCTATTAAAATCACCAAACATTTTTAGACAATGCCACATTTACAAAAAGTCCATACCCTGTATCTTGAAGTGTATTTACCTGCTGATAGG